TTAATCAACCGAGCATCTCAAAGTGATGAAGCTGCAGGTACAAGCCGTGGTCAAAGTCAGTCAGTGGCTTTTTAAATCGCAACTAACATCTCATTGTCATGTTTTCATTTTGTGAACTAGATGAACAGACTGGCTCACACTTCTTCAACTAAAAGCCCAATCCCCTTTAAAGTTGGGATCTTGAGTAAAATGTAAATAAAAACAGAATGTGATGGCTTTGCTAAACATTAAAACCCCACATTTTACATTTAAACAGCACAAAGATAACATCTAATTAGATGTTGAAAGTTTATCACATGGACTCCTTTACTACCAAGCCGTGTTGTTGTAATACGTCCAGATTGTGGTTTGTTATTGTTTTGATGAAGTAAGGAACACCTTCCCTGTGTTACGCCCCACCATAAGGCAGCCCTATGGGGCTAACAGCAAACCATACATTGACCCATTAGAAGACACTAACCACCTTAACAAAAGTCAAAACAAAGGGATTTATTACAATATGACACACTAAATGAAAACAAAGATCGAAAGAGAAACAAAATACAACAGACAATCCCTGACTGAGCAGCACAGCAGTCCCAACTCAAAATCCCTTTGTTTTGACTTTTGTTAAGGTGGTTAGTGTCTTTTAATGGGTCAATGTATGGTTTGCTGTTAGCCCTATAGGGCCGCCTTATGGTGGGGCGTCACACCTGATACAGAAGTTGACTACTGGACATCATATATTTGGTTCAGAATTGATGATGCCTTCACAATTGCGCAGGTTACGCTGTTTCCTCTTTGCATTGACGAAACGATGAAGTGTCAACGACCATGATTTATGTGTTCCTCTTGAATAGTGTCGTTTTTTTAATGCAGAGCCAACTTGAGGGCCCGAAGATCATGACCAGCAAATATGTTTTGTTGGACTAGTCCGCTGCATACAAAATATTATTCAATTATTTTCCACTCTCCAAACTTTTTTTTTTAAACACATTGCTTTCATCAAATTCAAATGAGGCAAATCATTTTCCAAAAAAAAAAACAAAAAAACAATTACAATTCCCAATCTCAACATCCTCTGTTATTTTCAATCAGATATGGGGGTTCAACTTCCAGCAAATCATCATTGTTTTTATTTACATTTAACACAATGTCCCAACTTTTAAGTACCGGTAAAAGGAGTTGAAAAAAAAAGAAGAGAAATGCAAAACTATCACGCAAGATGCCGGTAATGTCAACAGGTACAGGCAACAGAGGGCTTTAAATACCTCTCCTCCTGCTTACTTTCTCCCCTGACCACTTGCTTAAGGAGCTTAAAAACAAAGGAAGCCAGGAAAACCGGAAAGGCTTTTTACATTGTTTGTGAGATCACAGCAAAAGAAGCAACAAAACACAGAAACAAAACTAATCCTCCTGCAGTTAAAAAAAAAAAATCACCATTATTAGACACGTTCTGTAGATGTTGTAGATACATATAACCGCATCAGACACACTAAATGACCCTCCACTCACCTCCTGCAGTTTGAAATTCTTCCTTTCCGAGAACATGACCTCATTCCACACAACCTCAACTCCTTCCTCCGTGTCCATGGCCAAGTAAGCGTTATCAATCCCAGGAACATTTCGCTGATTCACCTTCAGGGAAGCACAACAAATAAAGCATCAGACCACATCTTTATCTCAGTGAAGGGGGGCGGGGGGGGGGGGGGGGACTTGACTCATAAACCCTTTACTGTACCTCTTCTCTGCGTTTCTGCCAGCGTCCACACGGGCTTTCCTCCAGAATCTCTGACTCATCCTCGCTCTCCTCCTCCTCATCCTCGGTGGCGGCTGTAGCTGGAGGCTGGGTCACCATGGAGACCGGAGGTGACACCGATGACACAGCTTGACCCAGAGGAGCAGGGGCCATGGACTCTTGCTTCATGTCCTGGATATTGTCCTGGGCCTGCTTGTTGTCCCCCTCAGACATCCTCCCAAGTTGTCAGCCGACTGTGGAAACCAAAACACAGTCTTACACTCAGTCCATTACACTGCTGAGAAAGTAAAATACTAAACCAAGCAGCTCGACAACAACTAGCTGTAGATGCTGCAGAAGAATAAACATAAAGACTTTTCTGAGAGGCCATCATAACAACATCACAGCGTTAAAATATACGCAGCAGCACACATATACTGTTGCACATACGTGTTAAAGACAGGAAATGTGACGATGCCAGCTCCTCCAGCTCCTCCTGATCAATCCCGGGGTTTGTTATTATCAGGTTAGCTTTGTTAGCTGTAAATCTTCTTCGGTTTCCCCCCAGCTGAGCTGCAGCTAGCTCTGTGACGCTGCTAATCTAGCTCCTTGGCTTGCAGACACTTCTGACTCTTTTTAAACGGGAGACAGCCGCAGAAAACTACCGGCGAGCAATGCAACGACGTGCACAGACGCCTGCTTTATTCCCCTTTAACCTTCACTGTCTCTGATGTGATTCACTTGCTGGCCGAGCTGACTCGCTAGCGGGAGCATTAGCAGCCCGCCGCCCCTCGCTGCTCCTCAAGAAGACTCCTGCTCTGCCCCGCAAACAAAACCAGCAGTGAAATGAGGAAAACTACAAAAGTGCTGCAACCGAGCTAGACGCGTTTACTGACTAATAACATCACGGCAGCTCAAAAAGAAACAAAGAAAGATTTATAATATCGTAAACTTTATGTCCTCGAACACAGCGACTGACAGACTTGGAGCTAGCTCCACATTTAGCCTGATATGATGGCGACAACTTCCAGATGCACACTGCACGTCAGAGCAGAGTATGGTTGCCAGATCCAGTTTCTCTCATCCCCCCTTTCTCTCGTGTTGTTAAAAAAAAATCGTCGAATCATTTTCTTTGTTGTGGTATTTATTTCATGGTATTATCAGTGCACAGTAGATAAGCAGAAGCCAGTACTGATGTGTAGAGATAAGTAGGATTCTTAGTAGGCCAGAGTTATATGTCTTTTATTTTTAGTTTGGGTCGGTGCATTGTAAACTTGTGGAGGAAATTCACCAGGACAGATCCTACATTTTTATTTTTTAAATGTGTCAGAATAATGTTTTACCCCTTGTTTATTTCAGCTAACACAATAAATATATTATGGGGCTTTCAAAAAAAAAAAAAAAAAAAAGAATTGTAAATGTTGACAGAACAAATTTTTTATTTTATTATTTTATTTAACTTTTATTTAACCAGATAAATAACCCGTTGAGATCAGGATCTCTGGCTCTGGCCAAGAAGGCAGCAGCACACGTCATAAAAAGCATTACATGATCAAGAGACAGTTTACACACAATAAGTTAAGAGAGAACAACGATTTACAATGTGCAAATTCATTTTTGTAATATTTGTAATTTGTAAATATTTGTAATTTGTAATTGTAATATTTCATTTGCTGTATCCAAGAGATTAAAAAGTACTTATTTAAGTTTTAATGGTGTGCACTGTGGACATGAAATTTATACTCCGTAATGAGGAAGCATTACACAAGCATTAACCCAAAGTTTGGTTAGGTCATGATTGCAGCATCTGAGACTTAAAATAAAGTCACAGATTGTGCAGCTGATTATCAGAAATGTAAATGTAGGTTACATGTTTTCATTATAAGAGCACAGCATCATTGGGGTAGATGTTGGAAAATAACTTGGGTCCATTGCAGTTAAACCAAATATATGATGTCCAGTAGTCAACTTCTGTATCAGGGAAGGTGTTCCTTACTTCATCAAAACAATAACAAACCACAATCTGGACGTATTACAACAACACGGCTTGGTAGTAAAGGAGTCCATGTGATAAACTTTCAACATCTTATTCGATGTTATCTTTGTGCTGTTTAAATGTCAAATGTGGGGTTTTAATGTTCTGTAAATCATCACATTCTGTTTTTCCTAGAGCCTATATGGCAAACACTGATTGAAAAGACAACAATAGAAGATGTTTATCATACTTGCGCTAAAAGTCATTGATTAATTGGACCATTTCATAGTTTTAAGACAAACAGTCATACATTTTTATCATTTTGTCATATAGTTACTCTAAAAAAAATCCCAATTTGACTGTCTATCGAATTAAAAAGAAAATAAGTCTGATGCTTATGTCCAGTAGTCCATTCATTTGGACTGATAGGCTACCTCAACACAAGTGCTTGTAATCCCTCAAACCTGGCAACCCCAAACTCAACGGACTCTTTGTTTTTATTTGATATTGAAAGATTGACAGACATTTAGACCAACTGCATACTGAATTATTGTGGTAAGGTCAGCCACAACAAACGATTGAAAAGAAAATTAACTTCTAAGCATTAGTTTGACCACTAGGTGTCAATATAGCTAGTCAGTCTGAATTTCAAACACAGATTTTGAGTCATTACTATAATCCAGTTATTCATATGGTGATGCATATTTTAGGCATTGAATTAGCAGCATTAAGATGATAAGAGTAAATAAGAGTTAATTTTAGATTTGGGGCAATTATAAGCACCTATGACAGGCTTTATAGGCCTTATAGTTAACTCACATGACTACATGTTGAGACTTACTGCACTCTACATGACCTGACCCTAAAGCTATATCTTTTATCTTTGCAATTACATTTCTCCAATCCATGTCTATCTTTATCGAGGTATACAGATTTTTGTATATCCCCCTTAAACAGCACACAGTGGCCTGAAAATGTTGTGACATGGTCAGGGTCTCTTTTCGAGAAGCCTCCTCCCCTTCTTTAAAGAGTCCTATATTTAGGTCCAGTCAGCGCCAGGGACACCAACATTGACTGTGTGTGACCTGTTCTGGGAGGCTGTTGGTTTTCTGACTGCCTCAGTGTTTTCTAGCAAATAAGGGAACTAAAAGTGGTTACAGGAGTCAGGGAGGACACAGGAAGTTTTTAGGGCTGTTTTGCAAGTTCACGCTGCTTCTGCAAATTAGGAAGGAGGTCCGGATTCCTTTATGCACTTCATTAACTGACTTGGAAGCAGAAATACAAAAGGCTGAGTGGTCTCTGATAAAAATGGGGGATGAGACACACGAAGGTTTAGTGCCTCTTGTTGAAGACACAAAGGTGAAATTGCTCTTTGAAACCGAGGCCTCACTCGGGCCTGAAGACAAAGCTGATTACCCTGGGACCAACTCTATCTACTCTGCGATTCTGAGCAGAAATGAGGCCGTCAAGGATGCCAAGCGTCTTAAGACTTTTTTGGAACTGCGGGACAAATATGTGAAGAAAAAAGTGGTGTTTGAAGATCCTCTGTTCCCTGCAAATGACTCCTCACTCTTCTATAGTCACAAGTCCTCCATGAAGATTGAGTGGAAACGTCCCTCGGTGAGTGCAAATCATCTGCCTTTATATCTTTTAAGTAAACTTACTCTTCATACAAAAGTGGCTCTACTTTAAAATCCCTCATCACTTCTACCATAACACATGGGTAGGGTGTCAAATTGATACGGCTACATGTTTGTGGATGCATAGCTTTGGGTTGTCACCTTCTTCAGTCACAGACAGCTGACACTCAGGACATCCCCTCCCAGAGCTGGGAAACATTTAGGCAAGTCAGCTTTGGCTGCAAAGTTTTATTTTTGCCTGACAAAGACTTTCAGAGACTTTTTAACTCTTCCAATACTCCGCCTTTAACATAAAAAGGTTTTGTAGCTCCTTATATCTGAATATATATGCTGTCTATTTCGAGTAAATAAATTCATAAATGAACGTTTTCAAAGCAAATACACTTAAAGTGTACAAAGTAAAAGTTATTTTTAAGACATATTGTTCTGTACATGTGTTATCAGATACTAATAATTGTGTACAATTGTTGTTTCGTCAAGGTTTATTCACTTAGCATAGCCTATTTAAAATATTGTTTACATTTCATCATCTTTTTAAAATAGTTTTTCCTACATTTAAAAAAAAAAAAAAATCCTCTACAGTGTAATGGATTGTGCAGTATTTCTCCAGGTATATTTAGGTAATGCTGCTGGTTATCCAAAGAGTTGTAGCAGGGGGAAATAGCTAGCCCAAATGCTTGGCTATAGGCTAACTGGCTACAGGCTGTATAGGTCATGACCCCAATATAAGTGATATCAGACTAATGGTTACAAAACTGCTGCAGTGTAGCGAAACTATTCCACTAGGCATACTTTACACAATTTCGAAATTAATCATATTTTTAACAAGATTTTTCTTATCTTTGTAAAGTTTGAAGTTGCATTGTAAAGATGTCATAAACGAAGGATGAGTTAAAAACTACTAGTAGACCTACTGTATCTATTCCTGAAATATTCAGTTGATGCTTGTAGCTGGTTAGCTTAGCAGATTTGTATGGTAGCAAGAGGAGACCCCTGGCCCAAAGATTTAACTAATGAAATAATGATAAAGAAGTGCTAATAGTTGTAATTTGTTCCCGCTCTCCCTTACAGTCTGTATTGTAGGATAAACTAACTGTCTACCAGCTTTAGCTTCATACTTCATACTTACCTTGCAGTCATTAGAGGGATATCAATATCCTTTTTAATTCCTTTAATTTAACTATTAATTAATGTATAGGGAATGAGCCTGTTGCCTAATATTCTGTAGAGATTTTGTTTGGGTTGCATTTAATGTTAAAGCACAATAGGCTACCTTGAATTGATCTTAAATGCATTTGTTCTACAAGACCAGTATTAACAAGACGGTTCAGCTCTGTCTATTTTACAAGATTTGAGTAGAGATGTCTCTCAAAATCAAGCTTAATAGGAATAAGTATTTTCAGACTTGTTTCTCTGTGTAGGCTACATTAATATAAATGAGGCCAGAATGATTTTGTAAAAGTCCTGCAATTAAATGCCAATAGAAATAGTCAGAGAAACCTTTTTTTTTTTTTTTGGCAAAAATCCAGTGTTACATGAAGCTTGATTGCTATTTAATGACTGATGGTAAAAGTAACTAAACACATGCAGCTGAGATAAGTGATACATGAATCCCGTCCAGGGGTCAGCAGAGGAGCTTGTGCTAAATTGGGAACATGATGCTGCCTTTTTACAGCTTACGTTATGGTCAATCAGAATCACTGCTGTGCATTCATTGGATAAAAAATATGTGTGACATCTTAATTATATTATTGTATGCTTTGTTTTTCCAGTATATAACAGTATAGCATAAATAAATGCATTTATAACAGAAATATAAGGTATAAAATCACTATTGAGCGTATTACTTATGATGGACTATAAGTTGATCATTTTCAGCTGAACCACACAGTCACTCACTTTCCATGTCAGAGATTCGGTATGGGGTGAGGGCTTCTCGGCATTCATCACAACATTATCACTTGTTTAGGTGACTAAAGGGTCATGACCAGGAGACTTCCAACAGCTGCTTTCTCTTAAATATGCAACGAATGTAGAACGAGGTTTCAAAGTCCCTGCAGGTCTGACTCAGCCAGAAATGTCTACAACTCGCTCTCAGTTTCAGGGTCATGTTCTCAAGTTGTCAATCATGTGAAGTGACAATATGAACATTTGTTTTACTTGTCAATAGCGAAACAATACATCACCTCGAGAAATATGACTTTGTCCTTTTGCTAAATATTTATTTTAACAAAGAAGCCCAAGTTTTTTAACAGCGTCTACAAAAAAAAGTCATTAAGGAACTCTTCCAAAAATAAAAGTCTAAAATGTGTCTTTTTCAGCCATTTTGTCTCAGCCACACTTAAACCGAAAGTTATTTTTGATCTTGGAGGACATCCAAATGAGAACTTGAACATTGAGGCGTATAATAAATAATATTCTCCTCAGTATATAAACTGTATCCATATATTTTAAATTTAGGATTAAACATATTATGCTTCTATTATTCCTTTTTTACATGTTATTTCATAAAGAGAAAGCCATTTTTTAACGGCAGTTTTATTTAACAGCATGAGCAGAAAAAACACCTAATACTCTTTTTTTTTTGTCCCTGACAGGAAATATGTGAAAACCCTCAGTTCATCGTAGATGGAGCCAACAGGACAGACATCTGTCAAGGAGAATTGGGTAACTTTTTAACTATTTCTGCTTTCCAACAAGTTGTTCTAAAGCAGTCAAATAAATCATGTTTCTCATGATTATATGCCTGACTGTCACAGTAAGCTTTGGTATTTACAACATGATCAAACTGTCCCTTTTATAGGCCTCTTTATCAACTCATTGTGATCCCTATATTTGAATGCTGAAAAAGTCAAATCTTTGACTCTTCTGTGTTTTATGTACCAGAAGGAACAATCCTTTAAATGAACTGTAAGAAAACAACACATACTGTATATAACAACATAGAGTACAGCCAAGATATGAGTGTTAAAAATAGAGGGAGAATTACACTTAACCGATGCACTGACCATGAGAATGAGCCTTAAATTCTAGTGATGTTGACGGCTGATACTTGCAGGGATGTGACTTTAATCTGTGACACCTCTGTTGCTTTGTGAAGCGGTATGCTTGGATAAAGTGATTTCATACTTCATGAATCTGCTGTCGACAGGTGACTGCTGGCTGCTGGCTGCCATCGCCTGTCTGACAGTGAACGAGAAGCTGCTGTATAGAGTAATACCCCCGGATCAGAGCTTCACGGAGAATTACGCCGGCATCTTTCACTTTCAGGTTTAAAAACAGATATCAGTCATATTTTGGAATGACATAATTTTTCTCTCAAGTTAATCATCAAAATGTAACAAGAACAAATTAAACATCGCACAAAAAGTAAAAGAATATGTGTTTGGTAGATTATTTGTGGGATAAACAGCAGAGCTGAGTATGTGGGTTGTGCCCTTGAAAAACTTGTCAAATCTCTTTGCCAATGCCAAACAGCTTATTCGCAGTTGACTCTTGTTTGGTGTCATTTAGTGGATTGGATGATTGAAGTCTTAAGAAACAAGAAATATTGGCAATTTAACAATTCATAAATTTAAGAAACAGGAGCCTCAGTTGCGTGTGGAAGAACCCCACAATCCACTAAATGACACCAAACAAGAGTACTTACTTTTTGTGCTATGTATATTTTGTCACAATGGGTCTTAACCAAATGTCAGTCAGCTTAACTTTTCCCCCAAATGTCAAACTATTCCTTTATATAAAGCCAAAATGTTGTCATCAGATTTTCATGAACTCTAAAATATCTTTGGAACAGACAGTATTTGTATTTGTTGAATTCTGTTTAAACAATAATGCTGTTAACAAGTATGATCTAACATACATTGGTTTGAGTGATATTTTCTTTGACAATGCTTCTCCTTTGTCCCATAATTGATGTGCAGTTTACCATCCGTTCTATCTCCTTGATACTCAGTTTTGGCGTTATGGAGAGTGGATCGATGTGGTTGTGGATGACCGCATCCCAACCAACAACAACCAGCTGGTTTTCACCAAATCCTTTAGGAAGAACGAGTTCTGGAGTGCTCTTCTGGAGAAGGCTTATGCCAAGTAAGCAATCTTAAGTTGTCGTCCTGTAAGAAGCCTATCCAGCTTTGGTCCAAAGATGTTCTGTGACAAATTTGTGTTGCTTGCAAATAGGCTGGGCATTGTGGAACACTTCATCTTGAGCTGCAGACTCCAGAAATTTGTTTAAGACAACTAAGGCTCATACACATTTCCTTTGGTCCTCAGAAATACTCTTGCAGAGTGAAGCCGTTTAAATAAACAGTTCTCAAGACTTGCATTGAACAGACCACTTGTTTTACTGATAAACTAGCATATGACCTCCTACCTCACTAGCAAAGTAGTTTGTGAACTTATTTCAAGTGATTACAGCTATAGGATCCTATTTGATTCATAACTTATGAGGGGGTATATTTTTGCAGTGTGGTGACATTGACACCTCGTGTGTCTTCATGTTTCACAAAAAACAGTGTCCAAAAATCCAAGCTGGCACATTCACCAGAATGATTGACCTCTCGCTCATTCAGGCTGCACGGGTCATATGAAGCACTGAAAGGTGGAAACACTTTGGAAGCCATGGAGGATTTCACAGGAGGGGTGACTGAGTTCTTTGAGCTATCCGAGTCACCCGAAGAGCTCTACAAAATTATGACGAAGGCCCTGGAGAGAGGCTCACTGATGGGCTGCTCCATAGATGTGAGTTGTGGTAGAAGTATTAAAATAAATGTGCAGAAAGAAAAAAATGTACAAGGACCAAAAAAACCCTCTATCCACACCTGAAGATACTTTCCATACCTTCTGACAGCTGATCAAGTTTTTGATTATACAACTGATGGTTTTAGCTGAACTTGTATTAGTCTTAAGTAAGGTAGTTTAATTTATGGCGACACATCATGTTTTATAAGGTCATCACAGGGGTCTATGCAGAAATCCTCATTCATGAAATAATTCAGGTTGCCAAATATAAAAAATGCAGTAAAATGAAACGTGGTGGCATAGAAACTGGCATAAAAGACATGTCTTAAATTAAGATTTAAAAAGGTTTGCATTAATACAGTTCACAGGTTTATGACATGCTTGAAGTGGTGGTATGTGGTAGTTTGTCCATGGACTTGGTTTTAGTAAAACAAGATTGTAACCATTTACCCCAGAAAGAATGAAATGAAACAAATTAAAATTGTTTTTGAAGCCCAAAGGTCTTAGAATCCAGTCTGTCACTTAATGTCATATATTATGTCTGTAAGATTCTTTCAGCCAGTGAAATGGAGAGTCGGACTGAACAAGGGCTGGTCAGAGGACATGCTTACTCCATTATAGGCCTGGCGGAGGTACAGTACATTGTCCACTCAATGTTAATGCACATGTTTGTAAGAAAAGCCCTTTAAAAACTGCGCTACAATGGTTGGCTGTTTTCTCTAGTGTGACGAGGTTGGAAAGGAGACGAAAATCCGGCTGATCCGCCTACGTAACCCCTGGGGTTGGGTGCTGTGGAAGGGACCATGGAGTCCAACGTAAGAACTGATTCCAGATTTTAAAAAAATCTTTAATTTGTATTATCAGTGTATTATTTTTGCAAATCATTCTGGTAAAGTGAAGTTCTCTTCAATATGAAATTGGTAGTATTTCTATTTTCCTGATGAAGAGCTATAGAAGCATCTTTGTAAACACTGTATGACCCAGGTCTGCTAAGGCTTTCTTTATGTTTTAGTTGATTGTGTTTTAATATGATTCTGTCTGTCTATAGTTCAAAGGAATGGTCGACTCTTTCCATCGCAGACAGGGACAATCTAAAGAAACAAACTGTTGAGACCAGTGAGTTCTGGTGAGTTAAACCAATGTGACATATCTTTTTTAGTCTTGTGGGAAATCATCACTAATATACTGTAAGTTGTGAAACTCAGTTGGCCTCCAACATGTGCTTTATATCATTGGTTCCCACCCTGGTGTCTGGGCTCCCCTAGTGGAGGGCACCAAAGATCTCAGGGGGGCATGAGTTTCTGTCTGCTATGAGGTTGTCAAAGCACACTTGTTGGACAGTATATTCGAGGTCTGTAGATAAAACTGTGGAAAAAATACATTATTCCTCCCTCAAACATATCAGGCTTCTTAGACAGCCACTCTTTAATTCCCAAAGTTGAAGGAAAAACAACAAAATAGGAATCTTCACTCAAGAAGGTATTTCCTTCATGTTCTCCTCCAGGATGTGTTTTGATGATTTCAAGAAGAACTTTACGAAGCTGGAGATGTGTAACCTGACCCCTGACATACTGCAGGGTGATGAGAGACACACCTGGACAGTGTCAGTCAATGAGGGTCGCTGGGTGAGAGGAAGCTCTGCTGGCGGCTGCAGGAACTTCCCAGGTTGGCATTTTATTCCTATTGAAGCCAAAAAAAACCCAACAAATTCTGTGAGTCCTGAATGACTCGTGTCTTTCGTTATTTACAGAAACATTCTGGACCAACCCTCAGTATCGGCTGCAGCTGTTTGAGGAGGATGATGACCCAGAGAACGGGCAGGTTGTCTGCACTTTCGTCGTGGCTCTGATGCAGAAAGGTCGAAGGATGCAGCGCCATCAAGGGGCCAAATTCCTCACTATTGGATTTTCAATCTATGAGGTACTAGACTAACCTAAAGAACAAAAAAAAATCCTCCTTTATTGAATGGTATTATGCACATTAACTGAACCTCTTCTTGAACTACTTCTTTGTCTTTGCAGGTGCCAAAAGAGGTATGCACAACTCGGAGAGCAATTTTTTTTCTTCAAGTCAGCATAGACCTGTGTCTCCATGGAGCTTTGTTTATGTGTGTTTGATTTATCAGTAAGTGCTAGTGGTGTAGTATAGTATGAATTCTAATATTAGTTGTTCAGACTTGTGTAGGCCTCTATGTACACCTTACAACATAAGCCAGAAATTAAAGGTAAATCCCAATTTTTTGGCAAGAAACTTCTTATGATCCATTAACAATTAATCGTTTTAGAGACTTTATTTACCTTCAGGAAACGTAGCAGCTCTAACATGTTTTAGGCTCCTGCCTCTAATGAGTTAAAGTATTAAGGTAAAAGTTACACCTGTTGAGGAATAGGCTGGTTAACTTATGGAACGACATGAGACGGTTGACACAACTCTACAAGTACTTCTTCATTTCTTCATATAAAGCGCTCGCTGTCATACCACCAACTGATTTCCACACTTCTTCTGATTTCTGTCTATTCACAGATGTGTGGACAGAATCAACACCTACAGAAGGACTTCTTTTTGTACACAGCCTCCAAAGCTAAATGCAAAACCTACATTAATCTACGGGAGGTTACGGAGCGTTTCCGTCTGCCTCCAGGGGAGTATGTCATCATCCCCACAACCTTTCAGCAGCATCAAGAGGGAGAGTTCATCCTCCGGGTCTTCTCTGAGAAGCATAGCACGTCTGAGTAAGGATCATTGACAGAGGGGCTACAGTATGGTGGAGCAGCTGATGTTATTTTAGGGGGTGACTGATGACAGATCAATTCTGAAATATTATGAATCCCACAGGGATTAGTATGAATCCTAATATGTCTGTTTCTCCTCACAGGGAGAGAGAGGGAGAGAACATGATTGGATCTGACCAAATTCAGGTTTGTGATGTAACTGAAGAAGTTGTGGGGTTAAAATGCTTCTTTATAATTCTTACTAATATTGCAGAGGTGAAATGAAGAATATGCTTAATACTGAAATCTATACAATTGTGTTTTTACAAGGTTTAAATCACTTTTTCAAAATGTATTTTTGGGCCTTTTTTTGCCTTTATGGGATAGGACAGCTGAAGAGAGACAGGAAATGCTGGGAGGAGAGAGTAGGGGACGACATGCAGCAAAGAGTTGAGGTCAGATTCGAGCCCATGGCCACTGCCTAGAGGACTATAACCTATGTGGCTTAAATCTATTTTAAGTGCACGTTGATGGTGCCAAAAACTGTCTGTTTCAAAAATCAAGGAAACCCCTTCAGATCCGGTATTTAAATGTCCATTTGTATGGCAGAAATAAACATGTTCACAGCCTGGTACAAAAAAAGTTTTGGTCTAGACAGCTAATTTCTATTTGGATAAAAAGCTGTACAGCGGGATCATTTTTTACAACTTGTTAGTTTTATTGATATCTAGGCTAAGAGTTATGCATTCATTTGCATAGTTAGGACAACATGTATGATTTGACTGACAGGTGTTGGTTGTAGACTTTTGCCAAGTCTCCACTTCACTTATTTGTCTGTTTATTGACTGATTAAAGTTGGTTTGAGCATTTCCAATATGGGGACCACCATAGTTGGGCTTCAAAAAGCTTCTTCAGAAACCAATGGGTCACATCGCTGGGACTAAGTCCATGTTTTATACAGTCTATGTATATTATGCTGGAAATCAAATGTTGCTGCCCCCCACTCTTCAGAACAAAAAAGGGAAACATAGCAAGAATATTTAAGATGAAAACATTTTTGGGCCTTTTCTTTAACTTGTTTTTAACCATCGTTTTATGTTAAGGACATGGTGCTGTGTTTTTTTTTTTCTATAGCCAGGATTTGGCAATAGTTTTTTTCTTGTTGCCATGACACTGCTCAGGATGTTTCACTTTCACAAAGGCCTTAAACACAAAAGACCATTAGACCTTATTATACAACAATGGATCGCTCTCTTCAAGCTTAGTTTCAAAGTGGCTTATAACCTATGTACAAACCAGGGTCTGCATCACACGTTCGCCCTGCGGTATCAGTTTGAATTTCCCATATTGTAAATCACAAATATGTAACCGTCATATTAAATAGGCCTTGTTCTTCTGTCTGTCTTCCCAATTCATACTGTGTTCATGATTTCCCCCACAACTTTAACTAACAGACATGAAAATGAAATGTTTCCCTCCTTTTTTCATCTCATTTCATTTCATCCTTCTGTCCTCCTTGTCTTATTGACCACCAGCAAGACAAGACAAAGAAGGATAAGGTAACGCATTCATGCATGTGGTAATACCACTTTAAATTAACTTTGCTTCCTCAGCTGCTTCTCCCCATCTAAAGAATGATTCATAATGGGTGTGCTTAAATTAGCTCTATTTTTCCACAAGGATGAATACACTTTGACGTAACTTTAAATTAACTCTCTTTTCTGTTCTGTTTCTCTTTTATAACCCTGCTCTCACTGCCATTACCCACATGCCAGCCTATTGTATTTGTGTCAGACAGAGCACGAGCCAACAAAGAAATTGAGCATGACGGCATTCAGGGGGAAAAGAAGAAGAAACCAAAGGTAATTTTGTTGCAAGAGCACAGTGATAATCATAGACTGCAAAAATAAAAACATCAAAACCATGCAGAAAAAGAGCTCATAGTGACTGTTGCATGACTCAACAAATTGAGACTGACGGCTCTGGAGTGCAGTCGACCCTGCCAACTTACATTGCAGAGCATAAAGCAACTATGTTTGAAGCCAACTGATCTCAAGTGTCTCTGCTGCACCTGTTTCCGTGAAGGGTTTCAGAGTGTACAGGCCAGCATGTTCATTTCTAATGTGCTGCCCTCCTCGGGTTCTATAATGAAATGCGTATGGGGCTAATCAATCCCTGATTTTAGTTTTGTGTTTAATCTTCATAACAGGAAAAAGCTGTTGTTGTTTTTTTTGCTGCCTGAGTTCTGTTTGATGATTGTACTGTAACATCATGGAAAGGAAGCTAAAAACTCTCATTTGTGCAAATAAATAATCTGTTCTTGAGCTACTTCAAAAGCTGATTTTGATGTAGGATTTATCAAACCAGAAGATTTGTCAGAAGTTCTTTTTGCCATATGCTTTACCTCATAGGCCTACAGAATATTTTTTAATTTTTTGACATATAAATATCAGTAAATCAAGAGAACGGTAAAAGCCCACATTTTCTTAAGCTAATTAAAGACATTCATTGTCAAAGAACAAAAGGAAAATAATATTGAGGTTTTAGAGCTAGATTATAACAGTCGCACACTCTAAGAAGCCCCACAACTCTGAATCCTTTTGATTGAATCTTAGCTATCATTAGCTAAAGCTACTTTGACAACTATTTCAAACTTGTTTCCTGTGTTGAGAAATGCATTTTGATTCTCTATTGTTTCAGTCTGCACGTTTTTACATTAGCCGGAATAGGGCAGTAAAAGAAAGTAACGATAATGGAGCGGAAAAAAAGACACCAGATATTTGAGTTTTGCAAATAATGAAAGTTAAAGCTAACCAGCCAAGCTAACGTGGCCTTTACACTGTCAAAACTGTCAAATGTCCAAACATAGGAAGATTCTCCTTAACACCGCGAAGGTTTTAAAACATGTAGCTGTGATTTTGTTTTTGGTACCGACTGTCCTAATCATGTCAAACAACTGCCTTCTTTTTTATCTGCTGCTCAGCGAAAACTTCTTGAGCCTGAGGAGGAGACGGAGGAGGAAAAACAGTTCAGGGCCATTTACCAAAAGATTGCTGGTGAGGTGAGTAAACACAGAGGAAAGTTTGAGAGAGAAAACTAAGTTAACAAGATTTTATGGGAGTAGGAGTGTAACATTTAAGCTAATCTGCTTCAAATTGTTGCTCCCTCCTTTAGGACATGCAGATCTGTGCCAATGAACTCAAGACAGTCATGAAGAATGTACTCTCCAAACGTGAGCAGACTGGAAACATGAAGTTATCAGTATACAGTGTTTGTCATTTGCTGATCATTCATGCAGAGGTGTCCTCTTCTACAGATAATGAAATAAAGAGCGAGGGTTTCAGCCTTGAAACTTGTCGCAGTATGATCGCCCTGATGGATGTATCCTTTCATCTGATGGTTATTATAGTTTTATTGTTAGATCAGGAGGATATTAAGAGTTTAAAGGTCACATATTATTCTCATTTTAAACAAGTGTAAATAAATCTCAGAGCTCCCCAAAACATGTCAGTGAAGATTCTTGCTAGAAATCTACTCTGATCCTGTATTTGATCATGCCTATAAACCCCTCTATTTCTGCCCTGCTCAGAACAGGCTGTTTCTGTGTCTGTAGCTTTAAATGCAAATGAGCTGTGTCTGAACACGCCCCTCTCTGGAAGGAGATGTGGCTTGGGCTTTTTCTTGCTCCATTCTATTGTTAACATTGTGAAGGCAGACTCAGAGCAAACACCTAACTGTGGGAGCATCATGAATCTAGGGGCAGGGTTGCTGCCCTTTGTGATGTCATGAAGGGAAAATCTCAAAACGGCCTGTTTGATTTTTTATGAATTAAATCATTTGGGCAGGATAGTTTAATTTATTTTAAAAAATCACTATATTGTACAAGCTTCATGATTTAAAAAAAATATTTATTATTGATTCTCTAATTAAAAATACAAATGTGTAAAATAACTTGTAAATTAAATTGTCCAATAAGTAGAGGAAAAAATGAAATATATACCAAGTTAAGTCAAGTCGAAGTGTCTTAAATTTGTACCTATATTCAACTGCTACTACAACAAATGGCTGATAAAAATAAAAAGGAACTTACTAATCAGCTGCACCTTTACACTGGCTGTGTTGGATTTTCCATAACTGACTCTTTTTCTCAGACTGATGGGACGGGAAAGCTGAACCTGCAGGAGTTCAAACACTTGTGGAAAAAGATCAAAGCATGGCAGGTAAGACAGCGGTAACAATCCTGAAACAGTTTCTGCTCTTGTTAAATTAATCTACAAGTTTTCATGTGACTGTCACTGTCTGTGTGTTTGCAGCTGATCTTCAAACGTTATGATAAAAATAAATCCTGCTCCATCAGTAGTTTTGAGATGAGGAATGCTGTTAATGAAGCAGGTGAGCAGCGGATGGACGAATACTGATATGATGAAATACTAAAAGATGTTTTTATATGCATTTCTGATTATCGATTGAATCACTTCCCATTGATAATCATTCTAATTTAATTTCTAATCATTCTTAGTAGCGTGCACATTTTGCAGCTCACAATAGCATCTAATAGTATAATAAATAGAACCTCAGTTTAAATGGACTTGGGTTGGAAACTGGAAGGTTGCCAGTTCAAGTCCAGACCAAGTCAGGAGAGGTGCCAGTTCACTTCCTTAGCACTGCCCATGTGCTCTTGAGTAAGGCATGTTTCATCGCAGGATTAAAAAATGATATCTTCTTCTTAAAAATGTTTACTGTTTTCCTCCAGCTTTGTCCGAACCCTTTCTAGAAATCACACCATGTACCATCCAGCCGCTTGTTTTCTAAACCTGCAAGTTCAACCATAAACCTGATCTCTGTTTTTATTTCTCCTCTTACAGGCTTTCACCTTAACAACCAGTTATACGACATCATAGCTATGCGCTATGCAGACGAGCACCTCAACATTGATTTTGACAGTTACATCTGCTGTTTTGTGAGGCTAGAGGGAATGTTCAGTAAGTACAGATCAAAACAGACAATACCGGTGCAGGCATTCATCTCACTAATGTTTAGGAAACTGATACATTTAATACATGTAGGAGCTACAGGCTAAGTGATTACAGCAGCTCCAGAAAACAGGGGACGGGAATATACTTATTAAAAATAAAAAAAGTTAAAATCAAATCAAACATATTTACATCATTTAAATAAAAAAAAATACAATTATGGAAAATTACACAGTAACTAAGGGATTGTTCTTGAAAAAAAACACACACAGTGTGTAGCATGAGGTGGTGATGTTGTTAAAGAGTCCGATTGAACAGTCTGACGGCAGGTGGGCTGAGCGACCTGCGGTAGCGCTCTGTCTTGCAGGGTGGGTGTCTGAGTCTGCTGCTGAAGGAGCTGCTGCAGGGCCCCCACAGTGTCATGCAGGGGGTGAGAGGGGAATATACAGAATATTCTCCACCTTGTATGAATCTTTGCAGGGACAAATGTAGTTTTTACCTCCCACTAATTGTAGTCTCATCCAGCTGAGTAATTTAAGGTTGATATGTCGTTTCTTTTGCAGGAGCATTCAATGCCTTTGACAAAGACGGAGATGGAATAATCAAACTCAATGTTCTTGAGGTGAGCAAGTTTTGGCTTATTTCGCAAGAGAAGGATTATAATTACAAGTTTAGGGAATAGAGTAGGAAATAACTAAAGCCTCCAGCCTCAGTGCGACCTAACCACTATCCAACTGGTGCCCCCCAATCTGTGTATAATTTAAGAATTCAAGAATCCCTGAAGGAAGAATTTAAGAAGAGTCTATAAAAATAAAATTTGATCTGTGACACACACAAAAAACATCCTCTTATTTTATTTTGATCTGCAACAGAAATGTTGTAGTTCACCGTCACAAGAGGGGAGATGATAACAAGAAAATATTTACGTTTACAAAACTGGAATCAGAAACTTCTCTCTTTGACCTGAATCATGTTAGCTCAAAACGGAGAAGTGTGATTAATTTCAAGCATTTGTAACCTTTCTCATTTTTATTTAATGATTTCTAAAAGGTTATTTGTAATAATAACGGTAGGTGTTTCTAATATTTACACAACCGAATTTCTATATATAGAAAATGATCACAAAACTGTAAAAACAGTAAAACATCACCCCTTTAACAGGTAGTTTTGCAAAAATTGGAATTTGTAAACAACATTTCAATTCATTTAAATGTAAAGTGTCTTATATTGTTTTTGTTTTTCTCTCCCTCCAGTGGCTTCAGCTGACCATGTATTCTTGAGCCGCCCTCTTGAACACTGATGGAGCTGCAGAAAGTTGGTGCTCACATTACCGACTCAACTTCTTGGAGGCCGCTTAACTTTTTTCTTTTTAAGAATTTTTGCACTGATTTTACGACTACAACGAAATCCAAGTCTTGAAGCACCAATTACAGATTTCATGTTTTATGCGGTTTTATGTGATGTTTACATTTCTGTCCTTACTCAGGCTTTGATGGTTGAGATTTAAAGACAGTTTGGTTTTTAGCTTTTTTTAAGGCGGCTGACGCAAGTGATGTAATATGTGTTCACTACTACAAAGCTAGAGAGTGTGAGTGAACATTATGGCAGACAATTCTTTAGATAAAAACTAAACAAGCTGTATGTTTTCAAATAAAGCAGAGGTGCAAACTGAAAAGTATATTTGTTTTTTTTATTGCTGTACACGTTCAGTAGGTATGAAACACATTCAAACATACACTGTACAATATGACTTACAAAAAATAAGGCCTCATTCTTCAAGTTGATGTTTTAACAGATTCTAAACGACTTTCTTTCACTGCAGGAAAAGATGGATGAATGTCTAAACATATAAGCAATAAGGGCATTGCCACCAGCAATGCTCGGGAGAAGGTTGAAGTTATGATAAATAAACGGCTGGTATGTTGAAAGATGTAGGAATAAGGTTCTCATGTCTGACAGGAGACCATAGTCTGGGTCAAGACGATTTAAGAATAAATTAACTCTACGCTGTGATCTCAAGCAAACGAACGAGCCACGTCAGTGCATGATGAAACACCTCAAATCTGGAATTGATTGAAAGCAGACTTACAAATTGTGCAACTTTTAAAGAAGGTGCAGGTTGCTAAAAATTAGCTTGTACGTTTAAAATTCAGATTTTTTTCCCCAAATTTCACCGTTTTTATCAATGCAAATTACAATCAAGTAAAATCTGTTTATTTAGTCAATCGACCTGTCATCCATTTCTGACTTCCTTCAGCACAGATGTCTTGGAAATAAAGTTTCAGAAAACCTTAAGAAGGGTTTAAAAATCCTACCAACATCCTGAAACACCCTCTGATTGCAGAGAGAGAAGGCCCTTATCATTCCTCAAATGACCAATAATAACAGCTGATGTCTTAGGATAAGGTATAAAATCCGATTGCCGCCTGTTTTGAGGATGAACATCACCTGTAAAAGTTATCTACCAAAATACGACACATCAGTCTCTTTAAAGGATGAGGGAGAATTTAAGTAGCACATTTACTGCACATGTGCAAACATGTTCCAGGAGTGAAATGAAAAAAGTATTTCACTCTGAATCTCACCTTGAAGCCCATAGCGACATTATCTGCGACCAGCAAAGCACAACACAGTGAATGCCAAAACTGACAAGATGCACTTTGTTCGTAGGCGCTTATCCGAGGATAAAGAATGGGCAGGTGATTTTTTCTGCTGTAATTTATATAGATCCCTCTGAAAGAGGTGGAATACTGTTTAAATGAACTCTGGATTGGGTAGGTTGATAGTAAAAACCTGGTTGCTGAGATTTGATGTTGAACTAAATTGATTTTAGAGGATCTTAGCCAACTTTTAAATATGACCTCCTCTTCAAATCCAGACACACCGTGTAATATGTTGGATTTTCAAAGTAGTTCAAAGTTGAACTTTCTCTACATAAAAACACACTGAGGTGTATGTAAAGACTGTTTATCATATTGTGTGGTGTTTAAAGCCATGCCATATATTGACAGTGAGAAGTATAAACATGCTGACCAACAGATCCAAACGCACAGTAAGGATCCATGTCACTCTTAAAATAGAGTTTAGTTACTGATAACTTGAACTGATAGTTAATAAGAGCTGTTAAAAGACTCAACATCTCGACCTCGCCGAGCAACCGCTTCAGGGATCAACAACATGTGGTCTGTCTTCACTCGCTGCCACCGAGGTCACAGAGGAGAAACAAAATGCTCCTACTCACTGTTGAGAATTAGTGTTAGATAAAACACACTATCCTGAAAAGAACCTTAGAACAAATGAGAAAAAAAAAGATCTGATGTGTTGTAAATGTTTGAAAAACCCCTGATATCTGCCACATTGTGGCTGTCAGGGCTGCACTCGGCTGTCCTTCTCCACGTGGCTCTTCATGTGTTCAGGCAACTCCTGCAGGAGAAAATACAAACAAACGTGAGAGACTGATCTTAAAGTAACATTCAGCCTGCACTGATGTGGTTAAGAACTCTATGTGCAGGCACTCTGGGATCCTCACTCAAATAAGATCATATAAAATATGGGATAGGAATATATCGGTGATGAAAATGAGATGGCTTTGGTTAATTACCTGTCTGACCGACTGCTGTGTGGAAAAGAAAGCGCTGCAGCTCCTCCAGCGACATTTCACAGTCTGCAGATTTGGGTTGTTGTGATCTCGGACTAGGTGTTGCACAAGATGCTCTGCCAGGCCAAAGATCAGAGAGCAATTCTGCCACTAAACAGAAACATCATGTAAATACACAAAACAAAGAGAAAATAGTACAAATATTTTACAATCTTTGAGAAGTAGAAAGTCAATATTTATCTCACTTAAAAATGACACATTTTGGGTTTTTTGGGCTTTTTGGGTTTCACTCAGTTTGAGTCCTTACCCAGCAGCGGTAGTTCTTCATTAAGTTGAGCTTCACAGCTTGAACACTGCCGTCATAGCAGCCCGTATAGATCTGAGTGGAAGCAACAACGGTGTAAAGATAAGTGAACAAGTATCCTGTTGCAAAGTGAACCACTGTCATGTACAGATGGAAACAAATGTCTGGGCCTGTTTTAGTCCACATACCACGCTCTTATGCACGGCCATGCACATCACCATGTCGCTGTGACCGCCGTACACCTGCAAGCGGTCATGAGACTGAAAGAAACGACATTGAAGAACTTCATGCATGGGTAACACACAACATAGAATCTGTAGTTTAAGATAAATGACCATGAATCTGCACTTTTAAAGGAGTCAAGTTTAAGATCTTTTCAAAAGTGGCTTTACTTGAATACCTAATACCTGAACACCTACTGCTTTTTTCTATCCAAAAAGTGAATGACATAAAGGGAATGAAAAAGAAAACCAAATATTTGACCCTTTGAATCTAAGAAGACAGCGTTGTTATTGTGTTGTGTCCTCTTATATTGGAAGCATATATTACTGGAAGAGTTCAGATTGAAATATTTTACCTGTAGCTCATAAACTCTGACCAGTTTATCCAGAGAGGCTGTCACCATCACTTTCCCCAAGATGACGATTGACGTGACAGCGTGCCCGTGACCCTTATAGATACGAACCAACTCGCCCGTCTATGAATACAGACGGAAGTCAAAGATAAAAGTCAAACAGAAACAGTGATAAACAGAAACAGTGATGAACAAAAACGTTTATAAATCTTACAAGGTCAAATAGCTTTAAAGTTTAGATCATTTTGGTTTATAATATTCAGTAATTCAGTAAATAACAAAACAGAGATCATGTTGCAAATGTCTTCAATTAGGCAGTGATTGATGGTCAGAGATCAATTTTTCACACTTACATGGATGTTGTAGGCGTGGACTGAAGTGTCACTGGAGCCGCTGAAGACCAGATCATTCACCACCTGAAAACAACAGAGAAAGTCCAATACTTTACATGTGATATACAAGCAATCATCTCCATGATGATGTTCATTTCATCTAAAAGAAAAGGACGGCCTGAGCTTTTAAACCAAGTGTCACTCAAAATGACAACATTTCTTTAACTATTTACAGGCTAGCGAGTGTTTCTTTGAAATGATTTAGTCATTTTGAAGAAGTTTGAAAACAGCAATGGTATAAACATTTTTCTCCTAGTAAATCATATTGAGTGACTCATTTTAAATATAGTTACATGGCCATGTGGAGAGGAATAACTGGACAAACTAACTTATTATTATAACAGTTTTTAATTTTCACATTTTCATAAACATAACACAAGTCAAATCTATAAATATTAAGTCTGCTTTTTTGGAAAGCACTTTTTTTTCTTCCAAAAATCCAACACCGGAAGTGTTCAGAGGTTGACATACGGTATCTCCTCACCTTCATACAGAGCACAGTTTTGGTGTGACCCTCCAGCGAGCGCAGCAGCAGGCCGCTCTTGGCGTCTCGTACGCTGATGGTGCTGTCATAGGAGCCGACCAGCAGCACTCGGCGGGCGCCTTCCTGTGCTGTACCGAGGCAGCTCACGCCGCGTGGGCCGTGACACTCAAACACATCCAACTGCTTTAGAGTCTAATGACAGAGGGAGAGTTGATCTATGAAGATTTTCAGCTGATGTCAGAAAATAAATTAAAAGTGAGCTTTGTTGTTCCAATTACAGGTCAAACAGGGCACTTGACATAACCTGATGAAACCCAGTTACGATGGTTGGCTTTGTCAAGTTACATCAAATGTCAAATATCTAGATCTCAAAGGATCATTTCACTCACCTTTAAGTCATAGCTGGCCACTGATCCATTGGCGAGTCCAGCGAACAGAATGTTCCAGGCAATGTGCAGACACAGCACTCTGTCTGATAGTGTGATCTGCTCCAGACACCTATTAGTCTAGAGGAGAAAAAAATATTCAACACAATCAAATAATGCAGAAAAATGTAAAACACACAAAAGGATGCTGCTATTTTAGACTACTAAACAAACAAAAGGAACCTTTTTGCTTAAAATCCGACAGGACGATTTATAACAACAGCAGGTACAAGGAGTCCTTGGACAGAAAAATGATCCTTAGGCCAATACAGGTTTGAATATCACATATAAAACAAAGGAGAAAATGTGGATACAGCAGAAGTTGTTTTTTTTTTACCTTTGTGCTGTAACAGCGGATCGTCTGGTCACTGGATCCGGTGTAGAGGCGTACAGGCAAGTTGGGGAGGGACGCCACGACTAGACAGTTGACTTTGTTTGTGTGACCTTCAAATACCACTTGGCACTCCTTGCTCTGGAAACACAGAAGAGAAATGTTTATGAATAGCTTACTATGTCAAAGGTTGTATTTATTTAATGACAATCATTAAAACAGAATTATTGCTTTTGAAGGAGGGTCCCCTTACACAATTCTTGCATCAAAAACTGCAACAAAAAAAATCGTAACAAACCTCCCTGTTTATATAGTGACTGTTTTCTGGAGTGGGAGTTGAAAAAGTGTTCTGCTTGATATAGTGGGGTTGTTTTTGTTTTACCATGATTGCCTTATGTCTCAGGAAAGATTACGATTGTAAGGATAGAAAGTGGATATCATGTTGGACTGTGATTAACATACCATCAGACTGTAGGCCCGGGCTGTGTTGTCCCCTGAACATGTGTACAGCCGCCCATCGTGAATTTGGAGGCCATGGACGGAGCCGGTGTGGTTCATGAAAGTTCCCAAGTATAGTTTCTCATCATCGCACAGCTCAACCGACTCTGAAAGAAACAGTAAGTTTTAAAGAGCTACCTTATTCTTTACTTCCCAGATAAAATAAGTCCTGTGACACTTCCATTTATTAATAGCAGGAGACATATGACTCACCTGGAGGATCACCTGTGTGTTTAACTGCAGGCTGAACTTTTCTGAGTGGTCAAGAAAGAAAAGTCGGTCAGAGAAACGATTTATTATTTACAATTCTGACCAGTAGTATATTTTAAAAGCGACCTCACCTCTCTGCATCATTTGTCTGATTGGTCTGTGTGCCTGCAGAGCTGAACTCCACACTGACAGACTTCTGAGGAGGATCTTTGTGGACAGGAACATTTGAGACGGCCTCCTCGCTGTCTGACTCATCGATATCGATGACCACCATGTCTGAGGGCTCCATCATCTCCACAGAGTCGTCACTCTCACTCCCTTTGTTGTCGACCACAGATGCCGATGATGCATTTTCTTTTGTTGGTAGACATTCTTCTGTGTCTTCCTCTGGATCGACTTCCTGTTCCTCATCTTCGACTAAATTCACCATCTCTATGCGGTCATTTAACCCCTCCTTTGCCGTCTGTCCCTGCAGTCTGGAAGATGATTCAGGAGAAGTATTCACTGATGTGGAACTCTCCGCTCTGAGATGTGGGAGGGGGTTAAAAGCAGCTGTAGGAGCGGCTAAGTGTGGTGATGTGAGCAGCAGTGAAGGAAGGAGATTAGGCGGAAACAGGTGCACAGGTTGGTTCACAGGAACCTGAGGTTTATCAGGGTTACAGGAAACCGTAAGTCCTTCGCACATTTCTTGCTTTAACTGCCTGGCAAGAGGGGTTGGATGAGGTTGGCCGGCGGTGGAGGTTGGGTTTGTGGGGAGCGGTTGCTGGTTGGAGGCGGTGTGGAAAGCAGCAGAGGTAGGAAGGGGAGAGGCTCTTGGCTGCATGACAGTAACAGCCCCTGCTGAGGAGGTGGTGGCTATCTCTGCTGCATTAGATGCTCCTGAGTATACTCCTGAAAAGAGATTAAGATTAGATTATTTCTTGCCTGTGACGCTATCGAACACATAAAGCACATCCGCTCCTCTACCTTGCATCCCCTGCAGGATCTCGATGCGCTTGGCCCTCAGACTGTTGATCTCTGCAGTACACTATAACAGCAGGAAGAAGAATGAATTATGTGAATCGAAAGTAGGCTCAGGAAACACGACATATTTCCGTGACAGCTTCATCATTAGCGAGTATACCTGCTGTCTAAACAGCAGCAGTCTTTGGACCTCCGTGTAGGCGGCTTGCAGGGCGTTGCGGGCCTGAACCAGAGAATTGTCCAGATCCTGTAACGAGTGGCTCAGCTCCTCCTCCCTCAGAGACACAGCCAACAGCTGGTCCATCTGGTCCTGGTCTACACGTGAGAGGGAAACACACATGAACAGAATGAGTGAATAATAATCTGAAATAATTGCCAACATCTCCACAGCAGGGTTTGGTGAATGTCAATAACTATGTAGAATCTCAGCATATAAGGAGAATAGCTGACACATATTACTGCACTGCTATAAAATTGCCAGACCTTTTTTTTTTCCAGTTTTACAACAGATGAAAAAGAGCCAGAGAAATCCTACTTTTTGTTCTTGGCATCATATTTCCCCTTTGAATCTTGCTGCCTACATCAGCCACAGTTTAACTAGATTACAGACAGGTGATGTGTAGCGCCAGTTGCATCTAACGTAGTATGGGGAGCAGGCTAAAGTGGTCTGGTAAACCTACACCACCAGGTTTTGTATTTATTTTCAAACTTGTCCTCATCTCACATTGATGAAGTGACATCACTTTAGGAAATTTAATGAAATAACTCTTCAAAAATGTTGCACCCTTGCCTACTAGCAGACTTTAAGTAATATTACGCAATATTCACACATGTTCAAATAAGTTTTGCGTATTATGTATAACAACATAATTTGAAACTTGCAATAATATAAAGATTACGATTTAAAATACACAGCCTAAAATATAAGAATTACCCTTGTGGGGCTTTGATTTCTTCCTTTTTCTGCTGGGCTGCTCGTCAGAAGCACCATCATGCTGTAACGATACACAATAATAAAAGGGTTAGAATGTGTCTTTCAGCTTTGTCCTACACTTAACGATACTGGATTACTCACCACAACAACGTTGGGCTTCCTCTTGTTACTAACACTGTTGCTTCTCTTTTCTACATCTTCTCTTTCTAGGTTTGGTTCCTCCTTCACATGGACAGTTTCAGCCGTCTGATTGCCGTCCTGTCCTGCAGCAGGCTGCTCCAGAGGCTCCTGCATTTGTAAATTTGACTGCGTTTCTATATGACAGTTATTAGCTACATTGTCCTGGGGTGGAGGAGTAGGTAGTCCAGTCCAGTGTGCGGCTGAAGGACTGTCTGGGAATGATTCCCAGTGGAAGCCTTCTGACAGAGGCAGGTCGTTGTCCTCTGCTTGTGTCTTGCGTTCTCGGTCTGTCTGATTCACCACCTCAATCCCAAACCTGTTACAGAACAGCAGTAAAACAACAGATAACAGATGTATTAGTGTCATTTTTTTTTTTTTACCTTTTAATAATAAATATGATACCTGAACTTAAGTATCAGCCAATATCGGGTACCCCTTTGATACAAGTGCAACAAAGAAAATACATAATTTGTAGAAATCACTGATTATCAAGACTTTGCTATGTTTGACTTACTTTATATTCTCTGCTAGCATCACAGTTGTTGTTTGTTACTGTCACACAACCTTTTACCTGACACCAGTATTATTTGGTACGTTAATTAGAGCCTGTCTTGTCTACTTAACATTAGTTTGCTCCGCAGCGGAACACGACTTCAAATTCAGAGCGCTCCTCATCGGCGCTTGCTGTTGCTAGGCTACGAAAGTAGTCTCGCGGCACATCCGCTTCCTTTGGTGGTGACAACAAACCGCAGGCTTACTATGTGCTTTTATCCCAGGAATTTTTTTTCGAAAAATAAAGGAAACTAAAAACCGTCTCGACAGCAGGTCTAGACCTAGGAATTGTACTCTCTAAAAAAAAACAAAAAAAACAAAAACGCCAGAATTAGTTTTTCCTCCGCCATCGTTGTTGACAAAGATGATATCTGAAACCCCGCCCCTTCTTTATTTTGATTGGTCGGTGAAGGAGAAGCGAAATCGACGAGCGCTGCGAAGTTTCAAAAGTATAACTAGCCTACTTCCAAAAAAGCGAGAAAAATGCCAAGGGCGCTTAGGACACACAGGTATCAGAATGATGCGTTGACCGGAGTACTGACCAACACCTCATTTTAGGCAGTAGCCTATTGGGATAGCCTAAGTATAATCTATGACAACAGATTGACTCTTGGCTATGTGTGGGAGAACAAATGTTAAAAAGCACAAGAAGAGGTTACTTGAGGAGTCTTACCTCGGCATCCCTTTCACCCTCTCGAGCTTCTTCCATTTCATCTCTTTATACATCTCCGTCCAGCTCTGCTTACTCTGGGCTGACGAGATCGTCAAATTGCTTGCTGTTTTACGGGCAACTCGGACCTTGGGGGTGATATTTACATTTGGTTCAGAAGTAGCGGTCTGGCCTGAATGTTGGTTGACCAAAGCCTGGCTTTTGACGGCCACCTGAGACTCTCTCGGCCCACTGCTTAAAGCTCCATTTGAGCCACCTTCAACCACGGAGCTCTTCTCAACTGGCTGAGTCGCTCTTTGTGTCACTCCGAGTGTTGCCTGCTTTGACTTAGCTTGAGCTGCATTGCAAGTTTGAATTCCAGAACCGGATGGCGGGGCAGGGGAGTTGACCTGGGAGGAGTTGGATCTACCACCTGGCTGCTCCTTTTCAGCTCCAATTTGATGCATAGTGCCAAGATCAGCCATCCGGTTGTCTGCCTCACTGTTCTGCCTCCGAGCTTCACGATCTGCCCTACACGGCTCCCGTACTCCCAGCGCTCTCCTGATGTGCCGCAGCATCGCACTGATGTCAACATCCCGTATGGGAGCCGTGTTGTTTTCTGAAGCAGGTTTTGCTGAATTTGAGCCGTCTTGTCCTGCCTGAGTAGATCCATCACTCTCATAGTGGTCAAAGATGAGCCCTCCATTCTGAGGGAGGTTATCACTTGTGAAGTCGCAGTCTGATTCACTACTAAGCTGCTTGTAGTTATACCCACACTGGCTGTTAGCTGGCCATGTTTTTTGTCCTGGCATACTGCTAGTCCCTCCTTGGGTATTTTTAAGTCTGTTTAAAAGTCTATCTGATTGGGTGATCTCCATTTTAACTTTGCTGCTTGGATTGTTGACATCATAGCTCATCTGCTGAATTGATTGGGTGAACTGGTCTCGGACATTATTTTGATGCAAAGTTTGACCTGCAGGCTCTCCTGACAAAGAAGACGATCTCTCACTTTGATTCTGCAAGGTTGCCTCTTTTTGGTGAGGAGGTCTCTGGTGAGGAGGTCTCTGCAGACTGGACACTTTATTCTCTATATTTTTTAAGAATGCCTTGTTGCTTCCTCCCTGGTGGGTTTTCTGCATCTGTTTCAGTATCCTTGTGTTTTTCACTTGTTTGGATTTTTCCGCCTTTGCTACTTTGGACACCCCTTTGTTTTTTCCAGTGGCTCCCTTCATCATTTCTGCATGTTTCCTACCAGCTTCCTGCTTCTGTTTCTTTCTTTTCTTTCTTATTTCTTTCTTCCTGCGGTAAAAAGAAGACAATAAAAGCCAGAGATTAAAAAAACAACATATTTAATCATGGAAAGAATAAATTGCATGATCTAACACTGCTAATGTTATATGTTTATTAATATAACAATCTTTGGGCTAAGTAACTGAAAACTCTTACTCCTGAAACTTCAGCAACTTGTTTCGCTCCTTGATTTGTTGAAACACGGCGGGGCCCAAAGTGTTCCACAGAGGAGTGGGGCTCACATTTTTGGAATTCAAGGTCTTCAACTTGGCATTGTGTTGAGAGGTAGATATGTGCTTTGCATACTCATCGAAACTCAATTCGGATACCTTGCACGCCTGACAGTCATGAAATGTATCCCTGTTTATGGAAGAACATAACAAAAAAACAGAATTGTTGTCACATATGAGCAAACGCCAGTATCCCTGCTTTGAGTCCTAGCAACTCCCTGTTAAGTGGTAAAGAAAATAGTACGCATGGCTTTTGGATGTATGCATATGTATGTTAAGAATTAAACACTATTCCTAAATGAAAGAGAATTTGTGCTTAAACACAATTAGTGTGCACACAAACGTAAAAAAAGTCTTACTATGCCTCACACCAATCTTCTTATCAAATGCAGGATGTATCCAAAAAACTGGAATACATTTGCACCAATCAAAACAACCAAGCAAGTAGTTATTACTCACTTGCCCATCGCTGTCTCCAGCTCTCTGTGATGCAGCATACTATGCATATGCTCATGAGCTTCCTGCAGTGAAGACATACAATCAGAATCATTGTGACAGCTGAACGTTGACAATCCAACGTTATCCAACACTGCAAAGTAATACAACTCATCAAGAGTTTCAGCAACGTCAGAGCCACTTACATGTTTCTGATATAAGCTGCGGCACAGAATACAGTAGTTGGATTTGGCTTTGTTTCGTCTGTTGTGGGTTGGAGTTCTCCCCGCTGCTATAAGTGGAATTGTTTTTTTCTCCATTTCTGGACAAATGAAACAAGCACAAATGACGTTTTTCATTAGGGATGTCACAATACCAGAAATTAAACTTGGATATGATACTATGAAATATAAAACAATCTTGTGACCACAGCACCAAAAGTAGAAGTCCTAGCGACCCAATATTGGGAAACTTCTTCTTTATTTTTTTAAATTACCACTTTCTCATTGCACATGCAGGAGCTTTACAATTAAGACTGAAGACCTGCAGTATTTTCAACGCTTCAATACATATAGTTCATCTTTAAAATGGTATACTTTTAATCTTTTTACACGTGGAATCGTGAAGTATCAAAGTATTGCAAATGTGACCACCTCGTTGTTTATAAACACAGACACTTTGCATTTAAAACAAACAACAAAACAAACATCATATCACGTCCTGAACGAAGGCTGCATCTTCTAGACATTGACATTTTCCACTGTACAGAAATAGATGTGAATGCTGAGACAAGAAGGAACAATTATATGACACAACAACAGCGAGATGAAGCTTGTAACAAGAAAACAACGTGATCACAAAGTCAAGACAGCAGCGTCCTCTGCAAGGTGCCAAACAAATGGTCTTTCACATTGCAACGTACTGAAGCCTCTTTTAAAGTTCGCGGCATTAAGGCAAGTTACCGGCGAATCAAGACGAACATAATAGTTTACGATAATTGTAAATATTTCATATCTACCAGATTTTTTTTTTTTCACATGGCAACAAGACTCAACTGCTATTCAGCCGCCATGTTCGTCCTCGTCATTTGCGTCAAGGCTTACGTGAGCCAATCGCTGCGTAAAATGAAACCGGAAGTCCGGGAGGAGGGAGGAGGGTGGGCGGTTTCCTCGATCTACAAAAAAACTGGATAGGTGTAATTTCAGCATTTCCAAACGATTTCTGGTTGTGAGTGTGTTTTATAGATCTAATGGGACGCAGGGACCACCGTTCAGCGCGGAAGTGAAGTTTTAGCAACAACAAAAAAAAAAAAAAGAAAAAAGAAAAACCTTCGTTAGTGTTGTTTACAGTGTAGGAGTGCTAAGTGACTTATAAATAATCATTTTTAAATAAAATGTGCAACGGCTGTGTTCAGAAAGAATACCCCGATCGGGTAAGTTGACCCCTCTAATGTTAGTGTGAACTTGTCATGACGCACAAACGCCCTTAAGTCAACTAGCCTGCACGGAAATTGCAAGAAGCTTGCTAAAAGTGTTGTTTTAAGCATGTGAATATGTCAATGTGTAGCTATGTGATTTCTCCCTACTCAAGGGGAACACCTGCCTAGAGAATGGCTCTTACCTGATGAACTACCTGGGCTGTGTCAAATGCCACCAGAGGGACTTCGTGCTGATCAGCAACAAAACCACTGAGGATGAAGATGGAGAGGAGATAGTCACATATGATCGTTAGTGCCTTTTGTTTGTTGATCACAGTAGAGCAGATCACCAGTCTTAGTTGTGAATATTTCTAGATTTAGGGGTGGGCAACTGGCGACCCAGGGGGGCCCCACATGCGGCCCTCATCAACCCTCAACGTGGCCCTCAGGTTCATTTTTCTTTTTTTACACATCAATTAATTGGAAACATGAAGAAAAACATGATGAAATCTGCTATTAAATCATGAAAAGCAGAAATATGTGCATAATAATATTTGATCACTGGTAATATGTTGAGTTAAATTTGAGACATTATTGACTGTAATCGTTTTTTGCAAACTACAATTTGGCCCCTCTGGCAGTGAGAATTAAATGAATGTGGCCCCTTGCTGTCACCAAAGTTGCCCATCCCTGTTCTAGATAATTCACTAAAGTTGAAACTTATCACTTTCTCATGACTTTAGGGCATGACCCATGACTTCACTCGGCCTCTGTGCTTAATCATGACATTATAGAACACTTGGTTTACTAGAAACTGTGCACAAACTTTAAGGGAAGAAGCTATGCATGTTTAAAAACGAACCTCCCAAAGTGCATAAATAGTTTCGTTTGGTTAGTTCAGTTTTTGAGCTTATTAGTTGGGGCTTTAGAAATTTGTGTGACTCTTTCATTTTTCTAGTCCAGATAGTCTAAAGACCATTGTTATTAAAGTAATCCGCACATTATTAAACAATGAAAATAATCACAAGTGCAGTGTAGCCCTTCCTTAAAGGTGCACTATGCAGTTTTATTTGTGAAAGTTGAAAGTTGGAGAAGTGAAACAATTCTATGCTATAATTTCTGAACTGAATACACAAACTTTGCTCAAAGAAAAAACCCCACCATAACTTCTTCCGTATCATTCTAGTTATGAACATTTACCACAAAATCTGTACACTTCTCCTACTTCCACATTTCTCTACCAAAACTCCATCGTGCACCTTTAACCCTATCCAGTAAATGTCAGTATTGCTACCTCCAGATAGGCTCTAAATCTTGTGATATCCTTCTAAGAAGAAGGAGTTATTTACAGTATGTTCCTGTAAGATGTTGGACATGGATTTGGCAATAAAACAGATTTGATTTCTTGCCAGAGGGTGAAAAAGAAACACCCACAGCATGCGTAAAAACTAATCCACTCATTTGTCCTTTCAGATGTTTGTAAAAACTGTGACCATGTCATTGCCAGGCACGAATACACTTTCAGTGTTGTTGATGAATATCAGGTAAGGTATCTCTTCACACTGTAAAACTCTTGAAAGGGCTAACCTTGCTGTCACACATACAATAGTCATGGTTAGCTATCGGTCCTTTGGTGTGTTTCTGAAGTCTGTTTTGTGTTGTCCAGGAGTACACGATGCTCTGCATGTTGTGTGGAAAGGCAGAGGACTCCATCAGTGTGTTACCAGATGACCCCAGACAGTCTGCACCTCTGTTCTAGACCTCAAAAGACACCAAGCCCGCAGGTCAATATTCACCTTTAGGTCAAGTATAACTGCCATGGACGTGCCACTGAATGCTGGCTTCAGGGTTCCAATGATTTTTTATATCCTCCCGCCAAATTGTAACAAGCAATGAATCCGATTTTAAGTCCTTTTTCTGAACTACCCTATGCTGAACACATCACGTTATATTTCATTCCTGGACCACCACTGAATATTGTGTCTGTCAATTCACAGTGTGTTTTAAATAAACAGTTTTTTTTTTTACTTCTAAGAATGAATCTTTCCTCTGCTTTTTACTTCTTGACACAACTCTGATGTAACAGTCGAAGGACAGAAAATGAGCCCTGTGGTGCAGCTGCAGAAATCACAAATGACAAGTATTTTGTTTGTTCTAACATGATTTGTAAATGAAATGAATAAATGACATTGTCAGTATTTTTGGAGGGACAAAAATGTTCAGAATTTATCAGCCAACATGGTTAAAGTTTTTTTATTTTTTTAAATGGTAAGCCCCAAACGTTTTAGCAACTTAGTCACCTAACTGTTGGTGGCTGTATTTATTATGGTTAGCGATTTGTCCAAATAAAAGCGTCTATGACTCTAATTTATGAACACAGATTGTTTACAAAAACGTACTTTGCGTGTGGCTGCAAAATCATTTGTGGCCCTTTAAAATTGGTTGAAATGCTCCAGCAACACTTGTAGTAAGAAGATCAACTTTATTAGCAATTTAGACCTTAGGTAATAAATGAATGTTCTTTGAGCAGGCGCTGGAGCCCAAGTTAACACCTTCAACTTACAGTAAACAAAACAAAGTATTTACTATCTTTTGAGTCAAAGATGAACACGTGTCTATAGTAAGAAGACCTTAGGTCTAAATTGCTAATAAAGTTGGTCTTCTTACTACAAGTGTTGCTGGAGCATTTTGACCTCTCCTGAAGCCGTTCACTCTTCATGCACCTTGTCAGTTGGTGAAGTTTGTGCCAGAAAATCCTCTTCTTCTTCTGGCCCTTTAAAATTCCCAGAAAGTTCAAGAATGGACTTTCAAATACATACAGTAGTCGTAAACCAGTTTGACTAAAAAAAATCATTTGTGGTGTTTAGAGAAAATAGAGATTTTAAACAATAATTTCAACCAGCCAGATTCCAGTAAAGCTAAGTGGATCCTTTTTGTTGACGTGTTGTTTGTTTTTGCTTCAACATCAAAGCCCTTTGTCTTAACTTTTCTGGAAGATTCATGATCTACAGCACCTATATCTGCCATACTGGAAATGAATTCCAAACACAAGCACTTTGTTAGACAAAAACAAAAACAATATTAATCGTGCTTGGTGTAAAGGAAGACGTTAGTTTTAAGTGGAGTTGATCTCTGTTGTTATAAACTTTGGTTTCTTTCACTTTAACAGATGGAGGAGCCTTTATGTCATTTAAATTGTGTGGTGGTTTATCAGATGGTATAATAGATGTACACTCCAATTTCCACACAACCAGTTTAATCACCAGCCGCTGTGGAGTTACGTATTTCAGGCCTTTAATGTCAGCCTCTCTGGCGGCTGAATGTCAATTGAGATGTGTGTGCAGTAAGTGTTTTGGGATTGAGAATACTTCAGAGTAAAAATCTTCATTGAGACCCATTCTGAAGGAAATCCAGTCTGAAAACATGGACCATCGCTTGGTGTTAAGGGCGGTCTCAGAGCCTTGTTCATTAGGCCTTTGGAAAACCTATAATAATCCAAGTAAGCACAAAAAAAACCAAAATAAAACTTCTCAACTCGAAAACTGGGACCATCCGAGGAGTACCTGAATGCAGCATCAGCCACACATCTGTGCCGACCCCTGTATGTCCTGTCCTTATAGAACATCAAACGTAAAGGACAAAGAGTCAGCTTCAACAGATGGTCAATTATATTTTAGTTTGTACCAGCAGCAGTACACTCACATTTTAAATGATTCCCAATAGTGCCATTAGTTTCCCAGATAATAAAGATAAAGTTGAATTTGGGTAGAAGAGGAAGTGTCGGTGGCATCTCATAGATTTCACAAACCTCAACAGCTGCCATCTGGGAACTCCCCATTCAGCCCCAATGTCGTCAGCAGTCTCTCTTTGTGCTTACTGGCGTGTCTGTCTGTCTTTCAAAAAACGCTTCTTCGACAGATTCTGACAAGCGATTGTTCTCGGGGGGGGGGGGGAGGAGGGGATACCAGAGTCTGAGCTGTTGTGACTTCAATGAATGAATCCAATACTTCATGGTTTTGAGCAATGTAAAGCCACGGTTTAATGGTCTTTCCCCAATTTCTGATCACTGACTGTGCTTCTTAGCTTGTGACCATGTCTTCTGCGGAGTCTAGCTTTATATGAATGAACACAAGTTGTATCAAAGTCTTTGCAGAGATTTGGGCAAACGAACCAAAACCGACACAGTGCCATGGTTTAAAGAGGACATTTGGCTGAACTGAGCATTTAATGACAAGTAAAACAGCATCCATAGCATGAAAGTGGTGGTGCTTTTAAAAAAAAGGTGGAACACGCTCAATGAAATTATTTTAATAAATGTTTTGATTGCGTTGATAAAAGAAAACAGCAACGATGAAAACGATACACTTTGATCACTTTTCTTTCTTTCCTTCGTACGTGTACTTGATGCAAGAAATAAAAAAGGTAATTGTTGCTGGTCTACATTAGGATGTACTTTTGATCAGAAGCAGCTCAATAAAATACAGATGTCTTAGAAGATTGTACAAATGAATATAAAAAATAATAATAAATTGCAATGATTCTCATGCACTTTTACAATACTCAAGAATGAGTGCACTTACATGTACATTCTAATATGCCCACGCCTTTTGCATGACAAATATTTTCTAGCAAAGTAAAAGCACACTACTACACTGTGGTATGAGCAATCATTGTTACATAGTCTTGAATCTAGCTGTTGTACCGGAGTGAGGTCATAATGGGGCTGCATGCCCTGCTGCTGTACATGAATGCTGATGTTGGTATACTGCTAGTGTGTGTTTTTAAACTATTAGTGTCCTTAATGTGAGTATATGCTTTCTATTAGTGTATACCATTTTCCTAATGGTACATATCTACAATTAGCATCATTTTTTTTTTTTTACATCCCTCAAGTATTTAACTTTGATCTTTTTGGTCTCATATTAGGCCTACATGAAGCATTAAGAGAAGAGTGAAATGAGAGGTAAAGAGTTGGCAATCTTCAGGTTATCTCAACCTTCTTCTTTCAACTGCACATATCGATCCACATCGTCGAGTGTTCTGAGCGACACATCCAACAAATAAATAAATAAATACGTTCAATTTATCATACATTTTACATTACATACAGTACATTCCCTTGAGTAAATACCAAATTTACACATGCTATCGGGGACTGGACGTGACACAGTCTCTGGCGACAGATGCACCATCCAGATCAGTTGCTTGTGTCAAACGCAGTCATCGATTCACTTTGCCCGAGCCTTTTCCCTCGTGGATCAGGCCTCTTCCCCTGGAGCTGTGACCCCAATGACCCTGCCCCGCGAACCGGTCTTGCGGGTGAGCGTAACGGGCGGGAGGGGAGCCGGAGAAGCTGGACGGAGAGCGGCTGCGGCCCTGCAGTGCCCCACCGTCTCGCAGCTCTTGTCGGGACGGGGAGGAGCTTAGCGAGCGCTGCAGGGAGGAGGAGGAGCTGCGTGGGCGAGGAGGAGGGCTGAATAGCATCCCGCTGCGGTCCTGCATCAGCTGAGTCAGACTGGCCAGGAAGTCAGCGTCGCTGGTGCTGCTTGCACGCACTCTTAACCGCCGTCGTCTAGACAAATATGAAAGATAATATTATCAGCATTTTTTTCTGTATTATCATAGAGACATTTCTTTCTCTGAGGAAACTATTTTAACAGTTTCATTAAACTAAGTAGTAGACACAATATCCTGTGATAACTTGTACTTGCATCCCGTCACAGGAAACAATGCCACATGAATCAATCATCATACACATGCTGTTTACTGTCCTAACAATACTTAGATATCTGCTCTTTTTGTAAAGTGTCTGTTTAGATTTGGCTCTATATAAATTTAAATATATTGTTTAATTGATTGACATGTAACCATAGAAGGTAAGCCAGAATATTTTACTAGCCAATTTTTTTTTTTCCCCCAGACTCAGATACAGAGTCACTCAAAACCAGTTGTAGAAGCACGGCACTAAGCTGAAGGAGCAGTCAGCTACTTTCTCACAACTGCTCTGTGTGTCACCTTCATCAGCGCGAAACGCAGTTTCACAAACCGGACTTTCTCATTAAAAGGAGGCCTGACCAAGCTGTTGATTGGACAAAACAAAATGTGGTCTTCAACTTACAGTATGTTTTGTACTGATTGGGGCACTCGCCAATTAGCGCATGACCTCATTTATTTTACCTGCCAAATTAGATCTTTACCTGCATTTGTTGGGGGGGGGGGGGGGGGGGGGGTATTAAAGCAGAATCCTTATTGAGCATGATCATGTTTCATTGTGTTGGTATAACCTTCTCCTTAGTGACCATGGTTTACCATAGACAAGTCATTTGTTGAGCAAAGGCGATGCCAAGCAGTCGACATATTGCACAGTTGAGAGCAAAAAAGGAAATGTTATCAAGAAAGTGAAACCACAGGACTACATGTTGAGTTCTTAAAACATGGTTCTGGAACTAGATTATAGCTATCATTATTACTAGTTACAAACACCCTCCTCTTTTTTTTTTTTTAGATGAATTCCTTGAATAAGAATCTTTGCAGGTTTGGGGGGGAAAAAATCAGCTGCAATGTTCATGCACATTTTTTTGTATTATTTCAAACGTAGTACCTATTGTCCACACATGGGCGGATGGGTGGTTTTCCAGGAGGTGGTCGGGGCAGAAACTTGCTCGGGAGTTGCTCAGGTACAAAGGTGGCACTCACAGGACGTGGGATCTTACTTTTACTTCCTGATGAAGAGGACAGAGACAGAGGGTCTTCTCCCACACAGTCCGACCTGGATCCACGATCAGAGGGAAGCCTGTCTCTGGGCAAAGCGCAGGGCAGGTTGTCGCAGGACAGAGAGGGAGAGGGCGAGTGGGTCGGGGAACCAGGGACTGGACTGCTCCAGCGGTGACGCCTCTCCATGTGGAGATCCCTGCTCACAGAGTCCAGGGGGGCGTTGGGTTCTCGTACCGGGATTCGACTCAGTCTTGGGGATAAGGGGGAGTCTCTGCGTCTGAGCAACGCTGGGGGCGGGGAGGAGGAGACGGTGACTGTGCTCTCTACGGCGCCTCCTGCTACGTCGGCTTGAGGCTGCTGATTGGGCTCGGAGGATCGATCGGGCAGACCAGAATCACTCTCAGGGTCTCTGTCGGCTGTCAGGTGAGCAGTGGGACCTTTGGCTGGGATTGGCACGGGCGCTAACTCCAACTTGTCTCCATCC